CGACAGACTACCAACTATGTTGGTCACCATGGTGCCGCTATGCTTGCTCTTACTTGTCTTTGCTGCAGGAAACTTACACTCAAATCCAGTTTCATTACATTCAGCACGTCGTACTCATCACCGGACTCATTACCTACACTGTCCCATCCGTTACTATAGCAACTCCTCTGCAACCTTCAATATCCACATCTTGTCTCATGGCGACATTAAACCACACCCAGGTCCCTCCAATCATGAAACACACAACAGACAAACTTTGAAACAAGTTTCTGGTATCACTTTTAATGCGAGAAGTCCTCGAAATAAGATGGAGGAAGTCGAATCTTTTCTACAGTCAACATCATACGATATAATAAACGTCACAGAAACATGGTTAACACAGCAAGACACCGTAAACGCAGGTTTCGACGGATACCAAATCTTTCGGCGAGATCGACCCAGCGGAAGGGGTGGGGGAGTTTTGGCTGCCATTATACCAGAGCTTTCTCCGAAGCGAAGGGCAGATTTGGAGAAGGATGACATAGAGATGTTATGTGTTGATATTGCGTCACGTTTTCATGTCAAGTGGCTTCTCTGTATTCTATACCGACCGCCCAACGCCCCAGCCGATTTTTGGGATCACCTCCAGACGGCCGTTGATGATCTACAGGTTGCATCAGCAGACTACCATGGCATCATCCTTACGGGAGACTTCAATGTCAACTGGGCCCATCAGCAACTTCCAATCGTCCAGCATCTTGAGCGCATTACGTCATCAATGGATCTCTCTCAGATGGTCGATGACGTCACCCGGCGATCACCCGACAATCCTCGCACAGGGACAATAATAGATCTTCTATTTACTAATCGCCCGCATTTGGTTTTGGATGTGTGCACTCAAGCAAATCCAGTAACGAGCGACCACCATGCGATCTATTTTAAGGTCAAGTTGAAAAAGATGTCTCCGCCAAAACAAATTTTGCGTGACTATCTACAATATAACAAGGCTGACACAGAACATTTCAATAACATACTGTATTACGCTCCTTGGGATTTATTTATGGATACTGATAATATTGATAATTCTTGGGATGGTTTTATGGATATTTTTGATGCAGCGGTTCGTGATTGTATTCCCCGCAAAAAAAGCCGCAATAACCGTTTAAGCCCCTGGATAACACTTGACATTAAGAAAATGATCAGTAAGAAAAATAGAATGTTCAAGATATCGAAACAGTTGAATACCAACGATAGTTGGCAGGCGTATAGGGAACTTCGTAACCAAGTGAAAGTATTGATAAACAAGTCGTATTATTCGTATTTGAATGAATTGTTATCAGATAGTGACGATAATGGGAAAAGGTTTTTTGCATTTGTTCGTATTAAGAGGAAAAACCGTGCTCCCCTTTCAATTGACAACAATGGATTACCCGAACATGAACCGAGCAAGATCGCACAGGTGTTTGCCAATTATTTCAGTACCATGTTCACTCCAAATAGTACTTGTAATGATATTCCCGAACCCAGGTCGGAACACAGTGCATTCGTACCATATTTACAGAATGTCAATATTTCTACATGTGATGTCTCTAAGGTGATACGAAACCTGCGTAATGATAAATCACCTGGTCCGGATAACATAACCCCAAACCTCTTGAAAATGTGTTCTGTTCCAATTTCACCCGTTTTATGCAAGTTATTTAATATTTCTTTGTCTCTTGGTCAATTGCCAATGTCTTGGAAACAGGCCAATGTTTCCCCGATACATAAAGCTGGTGATAGCTCCTTACCTAGTAATTATAGACCGATTGCACTGACATCCGTAGTGTGTAAAATCATTGAAAAAGTAATAACGAACGAAATCCAACACCATACAACAGAATATTGTTTACTCAACCCTAATCAACATGGCTTTGTTAAAGGTTAATCGTGCGTCACTCAATTGCTAAACGTTACAAACCGTTGGCTACGTATCTTAGATGTACCATCCCCTCCAAAGATTGATGCGATTTTTCTCGATTTCCAAAAGGCTTTCGATTTAATGCCTCATGATGTATTATTGCAAAAACTTAATTCAAGGTATTTTATTTCAGGATCATTATGGCAATGGATAAGGTATTTTTTGTGTAATAGGGAGCAAAGAGTTATTCACAGAGGTGCACTATCATCTTGGTTTCCTGTTTTATCAGGTGTGCCCCAGGGGAGTGTGTTGGGCCCCACCCTATTTAATTTATTTATTGATGACATTTTAACCCAAACCATATCGCCATGTGTACTTTTTGCAGATGATACATTAGTCTATAGACCCATCTCAAATGTTCAAGATATGCACATTCTCCAAAATGACCTGGACAAACTCAATGAGTGGTGTATAATTAATAAAATGCGCATTAACGAAAAAAAGACGAAAGTAATGCGCATCACGTGTTCCAGACAGCCCGGTATCCCAAATTATACTCTTAACAATACCCTACTTCAATCAGTAACAGAGTTTAGATATCTCGGCATAATGCTGAACAATAAACTAACATGGCATAACCACGTAGAATATATCACCCGCAAAGCAAATCGTATGTTGGGCTTTGTTTTATCAGTCACCAGGTCACTGGCTCCTCACACCATCTTTTCTATTTTTAAGTCTCTTGTTATACCCATACTTGAATATGGACAACCAGTTTGGCATTTACACACAAAATTACTTTCGAATAAACTTGAAACGATACAACGTCGAGCTACTAGAGTTGCCCTTAGGCAAAGACGCCAACAAATGTCTTACGAGAATAGGCTCCAACTTCTGAATTGGCAATCCCTTGAATCCCGCCGAAAATATTGCTTGATCTCTTATGTTGTTAAGTCTTTGTTCCGTGTTATTGAATGCGGCACTGTCGGGCGTGCCATATTGGTGAATGCTCGTCGAACTGATGAGGTGAGGTTCGTTCATCTCCGGGCGCGGACTCAACGGATGCACGGCTCTGCAATTAACGCATTTCCTCGTTACTGGGACGAACTCCCCGAGTCCTTGCGCACGGGGGTGGTCGAGACTTCCTTGTCGACCTGGCTTGCTGCGCTTGGGTGTCACCTCCGCCAGTGTGGGATTTAAATGATTGAAAGGGTAAGAGGGGAGAGGAGGCTGGAGCATAATATGCGGTTGAGTGGTTTTATATTAAACTGAATACTAAATTCTACTGCTTCCGCCTCTTCTTGCTTCTTTTCCTCCTTAATATTTCCCCCGCTTATTATATTGTTAACACGCACGTGTTTATAATTGCAAAATAACGATGTTCTTTTGTTATGGAACTGTTCTTCCGGTATCATGGGTATAGGTCAGTATTATAGATATTTGTAACCTGTATCTTTTATGGGTCATATATATTTCATTGGAATTTTATCTTTTGGTATAGGTCAGTGTTATGAATATTTGTAACCTTGAATGGGATATATATATATTGGGATTGTGTGGTCATGTCGAATCCTATTATGGTACAGGCCTAAATATACACTGTAATTTTGATTTCAAGAAAATGTATCACTGATAAATATGTACTTCTCTCCTCTCTGTTTGCTTTACTTTTCCCTCTCTCTTTGCTCTCTCTCTCTCTCTCTCTCTCCCCCTTTGTCTCTTTTAGTTTCCTTTCATTTTCTATAGTATCTTCTTTCCTTGCTGTCAGGGGAGATACGGTTATAATATGCTATTTAATATGCTATTGTATATTTTAATATGTTGCCATATACAGCAACATCTCCTACACTTATTCAATGTGCCAAATGTTAATTAGCCTATACATTTGTTTGTAATTGATTAATATTATATAATGTATCTGAAATAATGATACCGCATTTTGCATTTAATTACATCACTTATAATTGTTTAATAGGCCCTAATTACTTTTCAACTTTGAAGGTAACCCAAGGCTAAACTTCTTATTTCTGTTTTATGTAAATCATCCATTGGAATTGGGACAGGAGGCTTTATGCCACAGTAATTTAGTTAACTTTTTCTGTCCCTGGCGTTCCAAAGGTTGATAACTATGTCTTATTTTGTATTGTGTACACTGATATGTAATGTTTTCCTTTGCCGAATAAATAATAATAATAATAATTTTGCAGGAAGGGGGGGGGGGGGTATAGTATCACACGGATTAGGGCTGTGTTTCATAAAAAATATCAATAACAACTTACAATAAATGTAATATGCTACTGAAATGATGGCATTTGATGGGATGAGAGCAAAATTATCATAGCAAGTTAGCATTTGTCATGGATAAAAAGTTTTATGAAACAAGGCCCAGAATTTTGTATTAAAACATGCGGCATAACCTACCCCTTCCCCATCCCCATATACACAGTCAGAATCAGGAAGAACAAATAAAGTAAATCCAAATATAATTAGAGAATACTGTTGAACTATATAGGAACCTATATAGTTCCTTCTTGGTAATAAACAAATAAAAAATCCAAGACTAATCGGTCATTTAGATAAACATTTAATTTAGGTAAAAAGTAAATAGACCAATCGGCAATAATAGCAACAACTAAGATATATTGACCAAATGACCAAATGCAAAAAACAAACAAAATATTCACGAAGTGGCCATTTTACCAATTTGTGACAGGCAAGTGGCAATTGTCTGTGCCGGTAAATTGACTAGCATGATGATTGGCCTAAACGTTGATTGACCATGTATATTGCGGGTATATCGGGTTTACCCATATAACTGGGTATAGACTAAAGTTGGACGAACTGGATATTGGACCAAACGACAGTACACAATTTATTTGGATGAAATTTGTTCAGTTATAAAATCAGGAACATTTGCTGAATATGGTTATACAATCTAGATAAGGCGGGGTAAACAGTTTACCATTTACAAGATTGAAATAAACAAATTATATCATATTAATTTATGTGGGGAAATTGTAACAAAAACATTTAAACAAGGTAAAGGATACAACAACAAAAAATTATAAATACATCACTTTTTGACATGAAATAGTGATCCCTGTTAAAATGCGAATCATACCTTTATGTGATGCTTCTTTCCTCTGTGCTTGTTCGCTATTGAGCAACTGAACTATACCAAGATGATCTTCGTATGATGCAGAGTGAAGTGGTGTCGTATCATTATCATCACCCCCCTCTTCCTGTGCTCCTTGACCCAATCCCATGGAACGCTGAGCTTCGTCAAGATGAACATTAGTTAATGCTGCGTGAAGAGCCGTCGAACCAGTTTCATTAGGCTTATCAATCTTTGCTGCTTTGCCAACAAGGTACTGAACTATGTCAAGATGGCCGTAGGTCGTTGCAAAAAGACGAGCCGTCGTACCAGCTTTATTAGGCTTATCAATCTGTGCTCCTTGACCCACGAGATAATCAACTACGTCAAGATTACCCTTCATTGATGCAGAGTGAAGAGGTGTCTGACCTTGACTGTTATCACACGTGTCAATCTGTGCTCCGTTACCAATGAGATACTTCACTACATCAAGATGATTGTTCTGTGATGCAGCATGAAGTGGAGTCACACCATCATTATCACCCCTATCAACCTGTACTCCGTGACTAATTAGGTACTCAACTACGTCAAGATGACCCTGGTGTGATGCACATTGAAGTGCTGTCACACCTTTATTATTCCCACCCCCTACCTGTCCTCCTTGACCCACGAGATAATCAACTACGTCAAGATGACCATAAAGTGATGCAGTTAGAAGAGCCGTCGTACCAAGTTTATTAGGCCTATCAATCTGTGCTCCTATACCAATGAGATACTTAACTACCTCCAGATGACCTTTCTGTGATGCACGGTGAAGAGGTGTGTCACCTTTATTATCACATGTGTTAATATGTGCTCCTATCATAACGGCCATTTAAAGCTGCCGTGAGAAGGGCATTATCGACCTCAGCATAATCATGTGCTGCTCTTCCAGCCATGTTTTGCTAATAATCTGTGGACCCCATTTTGAAGCAAATCTTAATTTCTTATGAATATTTCTTCGCTCTAGACTCTAGAGTAACTAGACCTAATATTTCGTGTTTGTCAAAGTCACCTTTGCTTTCTATTAATCGTTCTTCGAAGAGACTAAACTCGACAATGAAGTTATCCGCTCTACAGGTTGAGAGATATATATCTTTCTCTGTTAACCTGCAGGTTTAAAATATTCGAAGCCTACTAATGATTATGCATTGTAAACTGCGACAGAGAAATGGTTCCAATTTGCGCAATTCCTATTCTATTATTAAAGAATCCGTGATATCTCCACTTCATTTGTCTGATTTCCTTCACATAAATCAACGTGCTCCGGACCATCCAAATATAACATCAAAGGTCTGTTGTTTCAAAATGAAATGGTAGATTGTCCATTCGGTTCACAAATCTGTGGATAAAATTGTTCCACAATTGAACGCTAGAAGTTTTTGTTAAAATTTAGCTCCTTGCTTTTTATCCGAAGAATTTAACTTGTGTTTGATGGTACATTACTGAAAGGTAAGAACTAAAAATGTATTTCTGTGTGCTTACAGTTTCCGGATCAAACTAACTGATTGAACAGTCATGGCGAAAATGGCGGAGCCTTTTGTGAGAAACGGGCGTTGTTTTGTAGCACGTCATCATGATAGTACGTCACCGTGACCTGACCTCAGCTTTGCTGCAATGTATGCAATCTTACATGAAAAGAGAATAAATGCATGGTTGACTAATTAGAATGAGCCGAAACCAAATAGTTGCAGCGATATTTACTGACATAATTTCTATTGATCTTACACATTAACTTGGTCGCATACAATTTTTTCATTTTCCCATAATACGTCAACATAAATACGAACTCAAATCGCGTCAAACTTTGTGTATTAGTTCGAAGAACGCATAAATAGATGTATCATTTACAATGATTATTATCCAATCATCAGAAATATGACTGTTTGTACCATTTTAATATCTAATCACAGAATCTTTCCTGAAATCTGCCTCCAAAATAACTGTTCTTATTTCTTAGATTCGCAAGAAAATCACCACATGCATAGGACAATTTTATGAAAGTTTTTTTGGCATTTACTTAAGCGAATTTGTCTACATCTCTTGATGTAGGCTATATCCCACGAGACCGGCATGTTTTCTATCTTCCTCTATGTATTGTTTGTTTCATGCAGTTTAACGGGCTGTCGGCGTTTTGTTTCATCAGTCTAACGGACTGTCGGTGTTTTGTATCATCGGCCTCGTGGACCTTTTGAAACTTTCTCCATTGCTATATGTTCTCATGCATTTCTTCTTTTTTGTTTGTCGGTCTTGATCGTATCAAGAGGGGATTCGCGGTCTTGTCAATATTGGTCTCTTGAAGCTTGTGTCATTGTCGGTCCCTGGGGCTGTCGCTCTAGTGGACCGTCAGTTATGTATATGTAGTGATATAACTACAGGTGTAGTACACATATGCAAATACGCACATACATGTACATGTATCTAATGCTTTCTTGAGTGTGTGTATGCAAATATGCACATATCCACTGCACCTTATGGAACTGGAAGCCATGACTTAAACAGTGGTAAACACTTCAATGAGCAAGCATGGGCAATTGGGCATAAATATATAAATAAATGTACATGGACAGTGTATGCAGAGAAGGTATGCTGGTCATGTTGGTATATTAGGAGAGGGGCACATGTTTTGATGGGCTCTGAGACAATATAAGACTCCATGTTGGATTCGGGTGTGTCCCTTGCAGGACCAACCAATAAAGATGGAGCCAAATGGAATCATTGAAATTGAATCTTGCGTCCGTATTGCGCTTGGCTCGTTACATATGGGCTTTAGCACAAGTAGGATGACCTGAACTGACCGAGGCGATCCTGCGAACACCCGCTGCACCCGGGGTCGGCCTTTAGTGAAGCATTTACCTTTGTCGGTGTTTTAAAAAAAAAACTTACATTACATAGAGTAGGAAAATAATGAACAAATGCTTTCTGATACACAGTTTTATATATTTTTACTTTGAAACAAAGCTTTATTCCCTCCCTGGATGTACGTATCAGCCCCCATCCCTCCTCAGTTCTCAACCGGGTCAATTTGACACAATTTACATCAAAATTTACATCAAAAATGCTCTTGGATGCCTGTCAAAATTGCGTGGGATGGGGAAGGGTGCGTCTATGGAGGAGGGAATGATCGTAATCAGGCGCCGAGACTTCTCGCACAAACAACTACATAAGCACACGCACATAGCCAAAGGTCCCAAGTCCCTGGTTTACGCATAGTTTGCAGGCACAATCCATTGTTGGTGTGCGCAACGGTGTCATCACCCTAAGTTTTCATATACATGTACTTATGCGAACACTGACACACATCATGCATTTGTACATATCCTCCATTTTCTGTACATGTCTTCATGCTTCATTCTCAACTCCAAAAGAATACTAAACAAAAATCAATCAGTCCATCAGTTTGTAACAGAAAAGCTGAGTAATTTCATCCTACTGACTCATGGACTCCAAAACAGGTAAACATTTTCATGTTAAGCCTCCATTAATTGAATAGTTATAATTACAAAAAAATGACAATACAGATATAATGATTATGATGATGATTAGTGATAAAGTAGATCCATGTATTGATGCACTTATTCTCATGACTAGTACTCGCGGAAAACACGATTGTAATGATTGTCGTGTGTACTCCCAACAGCGAGAAATCTGGATTTAATTTGTATCTCCCTTTTTTTTCCACGGGGAGATATTGAACAAACAAAAATTACACATTCAAGATATTTCAGTATGCCACGGTTTGGTTAATAACTTGCAAAGTGGTAAATATCCCATTAATCATTTTCATTACAATGTCTATCCCATTGGCGGATCCAGGATGGGTTTAGGGGGGGGGGTGGAGGGGGTATTAGTATTATAAATCAAATCAAATAAAATTAGTCTAAATATCAAGCAATCAAAATGAATTTTAAAAAAATACAATAAATGGTCATGAACTCAAATATTAAGTCTTTCCTTTACCTTTTTTCCTCGTTCTCTTATTTTCTGGTTGCGGGGGGGGGGGGGGGGAGGGTGGGCTAGAAGTAGGTAATCCCTGGTCCCTGGATCAGCCACTGGTGTTCATGCATAACGATGAAGAGATATCTTTGTTAACCTGCTATTAAAACCGCCCCACAACAGTTCTCCTGGGTTAAAGTCCAGAGTAAAAGCCAGACAACTGTAATAATAGCAAGCAGTGTCTGCATTGCTTTCATGGTAGTTAGGTTCATAGATTGATCCAACGGGGAAACGGAGTTCGCATTTTTGAATCGTGGATTCCAGGGTAAAGTTATAATGTTGGTCAAACGTGCCAAAAGTGCGAAAATCATAATATTGTGTTTATATATATATATATACTAATAAACATGTATTATTTCAGAGCAAATCTTGTTGCTAAAAATGTTTGTTTGTTGTAGAAAACCTGCTATGAACAATACAAAATAACAGACTACATGGACCCGTTGCTCCAGAAGGGCCAAAACAAATCAGCTACCCCCCCCCCCCCCCCCTCCCGTGACCCGGAGCTCGGAAGCTATTTATAACGAACCATTAAAGGGATCAGGTAATTTTGTCTCAGATTCTGAAACAAAATTCTGGATTTAACTCATACTGCAATGATAATTATAAACCTTCAGGTAAGTCAGGAACCCCATGACTTTTACAAGCCGATCGTCTATATGATTTTCAATATAACTATGATTGGAATTACAAATTTTGAAAACCGTTTGCCAAACGGTTTTCATAACACTACAGTCTATTGGGGAAAACGAGTATGGTAAAACCGGTCACCCAAAGATTTTTACTTTTTTGAGGCGCTTCTTGATCATTTTGAAGCGCAACTTTTGTTTAGGGCTTCAATATTTAAGTAATATTGACTGCCTTCTGGGCAATACGACATATATCGCCCGAACCGAAGGTGAGGGTGATATATGACAAGTCGTATTGCCCTGAATTAGGCAGTCAATATTACTATTATTAACCATATCAGACATCTAGAGCAAACAAGAAACTCTTACTATCTTATACTCTTAAATTGTGTAGGCTACACAGGGTTTCCTAGCATTAGAAGTTGCAAAAACATTGTCAAACCAGCACTGTTCATCCAGTGTTTGACAGATTTTCGATACACTGCAAACAGTTTGCCTAGGGTGTGATTGTTACGTCACAATAGAGTTTGCGTAAAATGCGCATTTTCTTATACACGATGCGCCTTGTAAATTACAGTAGCTGATGAGCGATGTAAATTACAACTGATTCTATGCACTTGCTCACTAGTTTAACACGCATTTTGCCATTGACTTTTCAGAGCGGGCTAACATATTTGTTCATTGGTTTACTGTATAACCATATTGACCGGCAAATTACACACAAAATCCCATTGACTTTTCTGAGCGGGCTAAAATATTGTATTTTTGTTGGCTTATCCATCAAACCTTGAGGGCAATAACATTTAAAAATTGCCCTGCTCAGATGTCTGATACGGTTAATAATACACCATATCACAGACGCTGATAACAAGTAGGGCCGTGTATTTCAGATTTAACATTGTTAAACGATCTCTTAAAGGAAATGTATGGGAAATCATGTATTTCACTCACTGAAATATTGAAATATACGTTGTGTGGTACTTATTGAAGAGAGTCACGATTAATACACCGTAGCCACCTTCGACTTTTATTTAAAATGTTTAACGTCTCTTTTCTTGATTGAATCGTAAATCTGGGCTCATCTATGGGTTCATTGTTTTTGCTTAAATAATGCAGTGATCAATAATAATGCACGTATCCTTTATTATATAATTTCTTTCATTTTTTTCATTTTCTTTTTTCAAAAAATAGTTCGTAACAT